TCACTCATATATATATATATATATATATATATATATAGACATTTTTAAAGATGTTTGGTCAGATCATTTTCTCTTTCTTTTTTTTTTTTGAAGTGAGGTCCTTTTTTGTTTTTTCCTTTGCTAATAAATCCAGTAATTTAGTATATTTTGCATAAAAAAGTACGTAATTAGTATGGTCCCTATTTTAATGAGAAATATGCATGCAGTTACAAAATTTGCAATATGTGTGAAAAAGGGTAAAATTTATACAACATGACAAATTTATAAGAATGAGTTTAAAATATAGAAATTTTTAAATAATATAGGAATAACAAAATTACATACTTATTATAATGATATTCACGTTTCTATTACAAAATTATTCAGTAATTTTTTTAATTATTTTTATTTGTAAAATACTATGATTTTGGGTTATATTAGTAACGACCCACATCCTATCTGGTATGATATTGTTCGCTTTGGGCCTGAGCCCGTACGGTTTTGTTTTTGGGCCTCACCCCAAAATGCCTCATACTATTGGGAGGATCCCCACGCGATGTAAGACTGCACAACTTACATTTTCTTGGCCTTGTACCTCAAGGGATTGATAGTTGTCATAATCACCCCTCCTTATAGGGCCCCAACGTCCTCGTTGGCCACATTTTCGGCTGGGTAGATGTTCTGATACCGTAAGTGACGACCCACACTCCTACCTGGTATGATATTGTCCGCTTTGGGCCTGAGCCCGCGCGGTTTTACTTTTGTGCCTCACCCCAAAAGGTCTCATATCATTGGGAGATGGTGTCATTCCTTATAAATCAGAACCTATCATCATCCCCAAGCGATATGGGACGACACAACTTACCCTTTCTTGACCTTGTGCCTCAAGGGATTGATGATTGTCACAATATTTCAACATCATTAGTGAAATTTTTCTATATGCAAACTTTTCCAATAAATCGAGTTTAAACATATACAACTTTTCCAAGGTGACATTATTACTAGTGGAACAAATCAAATATCCCTGTACAACTGTTTTCTCCAACATATACTAGTGTCACCAAGATCATGCAAATGATAAATTAATCAACTTCTCCATGACTAACATTTAATGTAATTTTGCATAATGTTGTAGCCGTATCCGGGAAGGGATTCATAGCAAGAGACATGACATTCCGCAACACTGCTGGGCCAGAGAACCACCAAGCTGTGGCTCTTAGAGTGGACTCGGACCAATCCGCCTTCTTCCGCTGCAGCATGGAAGGCCACCAGGACAAGCTCTACGCCCACTCCCTCCGCCAATTCTACCGCGAATGCGACATCTATGGCACCATCGACTTCATCTTCGGCAACGGCGCAGCCGTCTTGCAAAATTGCAAGATCTACACCCGCGTCCCGCTTCCCCTTCAGAAGGTCACCATCGCCGCGCAGGGACGCAAAAACCCGCACCAGAGCACCGGTTCCCCCAGCCAATATAGCTACGTCCTCGCCACGCAGCCGACCTACCTTGGCAGGCCTTGGAAGCAGTATTCAAGGACGGTTTACATGAACACTTACATGAGCGGTTTGGTGCAGCCTAGAGGGTGGCTTGAGTGGTATGGTGACTTTGCCTTGGGAACGCTGTGGTATGGTGAGTATAGGAATTATGGGCCGGGTGCCCACCTCTCGGGCCGGGTCAAATGGCCTGGTTTCCATGTCATTCGGGATGCCGCCACCGCCAATTTCTTCACTGTCGGCCGGTTCATTGACGGGATGTCTTGGTTGCCGTCTACAGGTATCAAGTTTATAAGGGGGCTGACTAATTAAAACCAATATTCATTATTGTTCTTGATGATTAGTGTTTTATTTGTCAATTATTAAGTATAGAAAGATGAGGGGGTGGTGTAGAGGTGTATTATTTTTATTATTATTACTTTTGTGTTTGTGATCAATAATAATAAGCACGTCATATTAGAACATATGTATGATTTGAAAGTGCAATATTGCATTATTCATAAATAGTTTTCCCCTTACGCACAGGAAAATAACAACCATTCTACATAATATATTATTTGACATATGCACTCCATTAGACTTCTTATCTTCTCTTTTTCATTCTCTAAGAAATCAAGCCAGGAAAAAGAGAACAATCTACTCAAATAAAGGCTACATGTCCTAAAAATCGTATATTAATTTTAAAATGTAAAACATAAATAAAAATATAAATTTTTGACCTATCCCAGCCCCTGGGCGCCCCAATACGTGGGCCAAAGGCTTTTTGACAGCGTTTTACTTTTTTTTTGTCATTTTTTGTCACATTTTTTGCAGGCATGCCTAGAAAAGTGTAAGGATCGTGTCTGCAAAATTTCATAATTTTTTGACGTTGTTTTTATTTTATTTTATTTTTCAAATATGAAAAATAAGGAAAATAAAAAAATAGAATATTCATGGAAAAAAGGGGCTGCTTGTTCCATTAATTCCTAAAACACGTATATTAATTTTAGAATGCAAAACATAAATTAAAATGTAAATTTTTGACCCATCCCAGCCCCTGGGTGCCCCACTACGCGAGCCGGGGGCTTTTTGACAGCGTTTTACTTTTTTTTTGTCATTTTTAGGGCCATTTTATGCAGGCATGCCCAGAAAAATGTAAGGATTGTGTCGGCAAAATTTCAGACCATTTTGACATCATTTTTGTTTTATTTTATTTTTTAAATATGAAAAATAAGAAAAATCATAAAAAAATAGAATATTCATGAAAAATGGTGCCTCTTATTGCACTAATTCCTAAAAATTGTATATTAATTTTAGAATGCAAAACATAAGTAAAAATATAAATTTTTGACGCATCACGGCCCCTGGGCGCCCCACTACATGGGTCGGGGGCTTTTTGATAGCGTTTTACTTTTTTTGTCATTTTTTGTTACCATTTCTTTCAGGCATGCCCAAAAAAATGTAAGCTCATGTTTGCAAAATTTCATAATTGTTTGACATCATTTTTATTTTATTTTATTTTTCAAATACGAAAAATAAGGAAAATCATAAAAAAGAGAATATTTATCAAAAAATGGTGCTACTTGTTGCATTATTTCTTAAAAATCGTATATTAATTTTAGAATGCAAAACATAAATAAAAATATAAATGTCTGACCCATCCCAGCCCCTGGGTGCCCCACTACGCGGGCTAGGGGTTTTTCACAGTGTTTTACTTTTTTTTTTTCATTTTTTGTGGCCTTTTTTTGCAGGCACGTCCAAAAAAATGTAAGTATCATCTTTGCAAAATTTCATAATTGTTTGACATCGTTTTTATTTTATTTTATTTTTCAAACACGAAAGATAAGAAAAATCATAACAAATAGAATATTCATGAAGAAATGCTGCCACTTGTTGCATTAATTCATAAAAATAATATGTTAATTTTAAAATGTAAGATATAAATAAAAATGTAAATTTTTCACCCATCTCGGCCCCTGGGCACCCCACTACGCAGGCCGGGGGCGTTTTGATAACATTTTACTTTTTTTTTGTCATTTTTGGTTGCCATTCTTTGTAGGCATGCCCAGAAAAATGTAAGGATCATGTATGCAAAACCTCAAAACATTTTGACATCATTTTTATTATATTTTCAAAGATGAAAAATAAAGAAAATCATAAAAAATAGAATATTCATCAAAAAATTGTGCCACTTATTGCATTAATTCCCAAAAATCGTATATTAATTTTAGAATACAAAACATAAATAAAAGTAAAAATTTTTGACCCATCTCGGCCCCTGGGCGCCCCACTACATGGGCCGGGGGTTTTTGACACCGTTCAACTTTTTTTTATTATCATTTTTTGTGGTCATTTTTTGCAAGCAAGCCCAAAAAAATGTAAGGATTGTGTCTATAAAATTTTATAATTTTTGACGTTGTTTTTATTTTATTTTTCAAATACAAAAAATAAGGAATATAATAAAAAATAGAATATTCATAAAAAATAGTGCCGCTTGTTGCTTTAATTGCTAAAAATTATATATTAATGTTAGAATGCAGAAAATAAAGGAAAATTTAAATTTTTTACCCATCTCGGCCCCTGGGTGCCCCACTACGCGGGCCAGGGTGTTTTTGATGACGTTTTACCTTTTTTTAATCATTTTTGGTTGCCATTCTTCGCAGGATGCCCAGAAAAATATAAGGATAGTGTCTGTAAAATTTTAGAACATTTTGACATCATTTTATATTTTATTTCATTTTTTGAAGTCAAAAAATAAAGAAAATAGTGAAAAATAGAATATTCATAAAAAAAGGTACTGCTTATTTCATTAATTCTTAAAAATCATATATCAATTTTAGAATGCAAATCATAAATTAAAGTATAAATATTTTACCCATCCCGGCTCCCAGGCGCCCCACTACGCCGGCTAGGGGTTTTTGACAGCGTTTTACTTTTTTGTGTCTTTTTTTGCAGCCAGTTTTTGGGGGCATGCCCCAGAAAATGTAAAGTTCATAATTTTTTGACGTCATTTTTTATTTGATTTTTCAAATACGAAAAATAAAGAAAATAATAAAAAATAGAATATTCATCGAAAAATGGTGCCGCTTGTTGCATTAATACCTAAAAATTGCATATTAATTTTAGAATGCCAAATACAAATAAAAGAATAAATTTTTGACTCATCTCAGCTCCTGGACGCCCCACTACTTAGGCTGGGGGCTTTTTGACGGCGTTTTACTTTTTTGTCATTTTTTGTGGTTGTTTTTTGCAGGCAAGCTAGGAAAAATGTAAGGATCATATGTGCAAAATTTCATAATTTTTATTTATTTTATTTTTCAAATATGAAAAATAAGGAAAATCATAAAAAGATAGAATATTGATAAAAAATGGTTCTACTTGTTGCATTAATTCCTAAAAATCATATATTAATTTTAGAATGCAAAACATAAATAAAAAATGTAAAGTTTTGACCCATCCCAGCCCCTGGGCACCCCACTACGCGAGCTGGGGGCATTTTGACAACGTTTTACTTTTTTCATCATTTTCTGGGGCAATTTTTTGCAGGCATGACCAGAAAAATGTAAAGATGGTGTCCACAAAATTTCAGATCTTTTTGACATCAATTTTACTTTATTTTATTTTACTTTTTAAAGTCAAAAAATAAAAAAAAATCATAAAAATAGAATGTTCTTCAAAAAAAAGTGCCGCTTGTTGCGTTAATTCCTAAAAATAATATATTAATTTTAGAATGGAAATGATAAATAAAAGTACAAATTTTTGACCATCCCGGCCACTGGGCTCCCCACTACGCGGGCCAGGAGCGTATTGACAGCGTTTTTCTTTTTTTTTTTGTCATTTTCTAGGGCCATTTTTTGCAGGCATACCCAGAAAAATGTAAGGATCGTGTGTACAAAATTTCAGATCTTTTTGACATCATTTTTATTTTATTTTATTTTTCAAAGATGAAAAAGAAAAAAAATAGAATATTAATCAAAAGATGGTGCCGCTTGGTGCATTAGTTCCTAAAAATCGTATATTAATTTTAGACTAGAAAACATAAATAAAAATGTAAATTTTTCACCCATCCAAGCCCCTGGGCACCCCACTACGCGGGGCGAGGGCTTTTTAACAGCGTTTTATTTGATTTTTAAATACGAAAAATAAAGAAAATCATAAAAAATATAATATTCATAAAAAAATGGTGCTGCTTGTTGCATTAATTCCTAAAAATTGTATATTAGTTTTAGAATTCCAAACATAAATAAAATTTTAAATTTTTGACTAATCTCGGCCCCTGGGTGCCCCATTACCTGGGCAGCGGGCTTTTTGACAGCGTTTTACTTTTTTTTTTGTCATTTTCTATGGCCATTTTTTGCAGGCATGCCCAGAAAAATGTAAGGATTGTATATGTAAAATTTTATTTCTTTTGGACATCATTTTTAACTTATTTTATTTTTCAAAGTAAAAAAATAAAGAAAATATTAAAAAATATAATATTCATCAAAAAATGGTGACGTTTGTTGCTTTAATTCCTAAAAATCGTATATTAACTTTAGAATGCAAAACATAAATAAAAAAGAAAATTTTTGACCCATCCCGACCGCTGGGTGCCCCACTAGGTGGGCCAGGGGTTTTTGACAGCGTTTTACTTTTTTTGTCATTTTTGGGTGCATTTTTTGCAAGCACGCCCAAAAAATGTAACGATCGTGTCTGCAAAATTTCATAATTGTTTTTATGTCATTTTTTTATTTTATTTTATTTTTCAAAGACGGAAAATAAAGAAAATTATAAAAATAGAATATTTATCAAAAAATTGTGTTGCTTGTTGCATTAATTCGTAAAAATTATTTATTAATTTTTGACCCACCGCGGCCCCTTTGCGCCGCACTATGCGGGCCGGGAGCATTTTAACAGCGTTTTAATTTTTTTGTCATTTTCTCGGGCCTTTTTTTGCAGGCATTCCCATAAAAATGTAAGGCTCGTGTTTGTAAAATTTCAGATCTTTTTGACATCATTTTTATTTTATTTTATTTTTCATAGACCATAAATGAAAAAAATAAAAAAATAGAATATTCATCAAAAGATGGTGCCACTTGGTGCATTAATTCCTAAAAATCGTATATTAATTTTAGAATGCAAGACATAAATAAAAATGTAAATTGTTGACCCATCCCGGCCCCTGGGCGACCCACTCCGCGGGCCGGGGGCTTTTTGACAGCGGTTTACTTCTTTTGTGTCTTTTTTTGCAGCCATTTTTTGCGAGCAAGCACAAGAAAATTTAAAGATTGTGTCTGCAAAATTTCATAATTTTTAGACGTGTTTTTTATTTTAATTAATTTTTTAAATACAAAAAATTAAGAAAATCATAACAAATAGAATATTCATCAAAAATGGTGCCCCATGTTGCATTAATTCCTAAAAATCGAATATTAATTTTAGAATGCAAAACATAAATAAAAGCATAAATTTTTGACTCATCCCGACCGCAGGGTACCCCACTACCTGGGCTGGGGGCATTTTGACAGCGTTTTACTCTTTTTGTCATTTTGTTGGTCGTTTCTTGCAGGCAA